GTAATCCCCTTTCAAGCACGTAATAACTATGAATGCTTTCTAGTGGTATCGGAAAATGGATTATGTTGAGGTGAAGATTACGTGTATTTGAAACATATAAGGGTGGATACACAGCGACCTTATACGTATAATAGGTTTTGGTGGTTGCATCACGAATAATTACGAAGTAAACAGTAGGTAATGTCATTTGAGGTTAGCTAGATCTGCATCTGTAGAGTACAAGAATACCGGTAGTTGCATTATGCTTGTCTGAAGAAGTCTGATCTCAGTTAGACAAACGTTATAAAACATTTGTGATAGTGTGCAGTTGGCAAGACTCTTGAATCACATAGAGAATACCTACCTATACAACAGCATTTCTCTGGTATTGTATAAGATTGTAACTTAAATTAGTACTCAAAATTACTTTCAATGTTTCTTATTCTATTTACGTTGTTCGTGGTCAGGAGAATGACACTTGTTGATTGTCATCACCACTCGGTTTTCGGTGCCGTATTGCATTTGTCAAATGCTGGCAAATTTACCGTTAAATTTTGTAATTATCACAGAGATAGTTAGGTGGTGTTAGTATTGTAAAATTTCCCTGGACGTTCACATGATTTCTAAGTGTAAGCGGGAATACGACTTTTCAGTTTTTATTGAACATTTATTATTTTGTTATTGTTTGCTCAGAGTTAGTTCACACGTAAAAAGTAACAATTTCATTTCCTAGAGATTTCCGATTAAGGTTTGCCACCCCTAAAAATCTTTTGTTTGTTCGTGAAACTAAGATGTAGGGTTACAGAATCCGACTAAGGTTCGCGGTTACGCCACGTAGGTATGCCACCGTCTAGTCTGCATCGCCAAGAGAATGATAATGGATTGACGGGGAAAGCGTCCGCCGTCCGAAAAGGTCGCACTTTTCGGTGTGATGTTTTTATTGTATCGAAGTAAACAACAAACTGGTACTGTCTCGAATGACAAACTTTTTTAATGTGAAATTAGACGTATTAAAAGATCGTTGTCATCTGTGGGGTCAAAGGGTATTATAGCTGTCAGACAAGTTGCGTAAAAATGATGCCGTTTTTAAACGATTTTGTATTATTCAAACAGTTATGCCAACTCAGGAAAGGCGAATGGTATAGTTGAGTTATTGATTAACATTGACTTCTTACTTGCCTGATATTTAAATCTCCTTCGATACACACAATCGCAACAGCTCAAGATTACTTTTAGCCTGAAACTATTTTGTTATCTCCTAATTGTCATTTGATTGGATACATTTATCACCGTCTCGATGGGTCAGACGGTTTTGCATTGTTCAGCAAAGACGTAAAACCTTTTTAATTACCACCCTTGGGAGAGTCGTCAACATCATTTGGAACGGATTGTAATGGCTGTAAGGGGCATCGTAAAAGTTTCGCAGTGTATACTGTTGCACAGCGTTACATCACCTCACTCACTATCATTTTGATATCTAGACTCTGGATAATACTGAATGATATTTTTTGGCAATCAATATCGTAGGCCACTTGTCGAAATAAGTTGAAATTCAGTGTTCGAAATATACGAAATCCTTGTTGCTAGAAAGCCTGTTTTAGGACTTGGCGCGCAATTCAATAACTTGACGTATTTTACCAAGAAATCGCGATAAAAGTACTAGCAAAAATGTTTGAAATTGACATCATTTTTGGACGAGTGACTTCGTGTATGTCCAGATGAATTAGGATGGTCTGAAATTTTAACTCTAATTTCTTATTATAGTTCACATATGTGTAGTACATTTAGTATATATATTAACGTGAGAATGGAAGATTCAAGCAGGCGAATTTAGTAGTCTATTTTAGTTTTATGTGAAAGTAAACAGGTTTTGTCGAGATTGGTTGATTTGTTTGTAAGCGAATATTACAAGTCATTCAAATTAGATATGACGACCAAAGGGTTAGCTCCAGTGCTGCCACTCGAGCCGAACCGGGTGCTAATTTCCAACTGTTTGTCCAATTTTTTAAGCACCATCTCATTCTGTCAATATTGGTTGGTTTTCCTCTATCGCCAATAGCAAACAGCGATAATCCTACACCACACTTACTCAAGCGAAGACCGATCATAAACGGCGACCAATACGCGCAGCCGAACCACTGATATATTTCGCTCGCCTATATATATTGAAGGCAGTTCTCTCGATTTCAGTCGATCTGAAGTCGGAATTTCGTGCCGGCTGCGCGAGTCACCCAAGATGTGTATTACGCCGGCTTAACGGACTTTAAGACGTCTGCGGGGAGTCAATCAAAGACAGCGCTGCTTTCAAAATAGCATTTGACGATGTCAGATTTAATTTTAGTTTAAATGAAGGCAAAGCGTCTGAATGGAATGTTAATTAGTTCGAGGATGCATGCTCCCGTAGAATAATTGGAATAAATGCTTTGTGAGACGAATATTTATATGGCTTATAATATTTCTAAAGTATACAGAGCATTTTTGTAGCGGATTTCGTAATACCAAGCTGAGAAAACTATTTTTAAGAATTTTAGATGACGTCATGTGTTATTTTGATCAAAAAAACTGTATTGTACTTATTTTAGGAGATAAATTGAGAATAAAAACATCACGATAAAACGATGAAAAGCATTGTCAATATTCAAAAGCAAGTTTGAGAAACTGGCGTTCACGATGTTGTAAATATAGATAATTAAAAAAAAGAAACGAACAGGCTTTCCGGAATAGTATTTTATTTGTTCAATATTTGTTTAGAATTTGATATTATATTTTGATTTCAATAACTCTGTCGATGATTGATACCAACGTCCGTATATTCATAGTTCACTTCCGTTCACACAATACAGTGATAACGGACTGGTTCATCCGCACATTGGCGACAAAATTTGAAAAGAAAACTTTTACGGTCTTCATGACTATGTTTCCATCCAGTATGTACTATTAGGCAAGGTAAGATAGATTTCATACTATCGGTGCAACAGAATATATTTCTTGTTATCGATAGAACAGAACAGGTGTTATCGTATGACAAAACCATGGCCCTCGTTTAGTTACCATGTCAGGTATGAATGAGATAGCAAATTATACTTTAGTTGCATGATATTGGATTGCGAATGAAAGCCGTAACCGACCATATATTCTCCTCTATTACCTTACTGTATTGAGTTTGTTATTTCTTTAACATGCACGAAACTCAAAATCGACAACACCCTTTTTTTCTATGTCGTCGCATGTTAGGGTAACATGAATTTTTTTGTGAGAATTATACACCCTATTGTCTATATGTATATCTTCACCGCAAAGAGGATATTTCGCTTTTGATACGAAACACTCCTCCGAGTGTTGCGTTATTTGTATGTGAGGAGAATAGCTTTTCTGTTGAACATATACTAACAAGCTTGATCCAATTTCAATCAATTCAGGGCCACGGAAATCTAAGTCAGTGGTATAAATCGTAATTTGCGTTCGTATGGGGTTGTGACATCTGCCCTCTTTGATATTAAGATTTATTGTATAGCACCAATCGGCCGTTAAGTTTCTATTTTGTGTTATTTTTGTAATACTGATTTTTTCATTTGTTCGTGTTTGCGGGAAGAATTTTACTTTCCGGCAACCGACAAGGCAACTCGTTTATAATCGTCGTCTCGCTAAATATTCCCACTTCGTGTGTTGTGTCTAAGTTCTATATCCTGTTATTCAGAATACTTGCTTTTTTATGAATTGACGTAATATTTTAACTAACGTCTGAATTTATTTAAATATTACAGAATATTTTGAATAGTACAGTCTTTCATATTACGTTTGCTTGTTATTTTGATAGTCTTAGCACTGTTGGAAAAGTGCTTGGTCGGAATTTAACGTAAAAGTCATTTTCATTTTGGATTATGAAGCAGGTATTGGCCGTCGACCATACCCCTGTTACGAATTCTGGCCCTGATTATAATTTTTCAAAGGTAAGTTAGGACTATGTATATTTATATTCTGCGTATAAAGCGTATACCCATATTCTTGGCAATGTACGGGCATCGTTTTGCAGATGGGCATGCGCATTGTCTTTTGAAATTCCAGTGACCGTCATAAAATTTCTGATATTTGCTAAGTCTTCGGGAGTATTTTCTCACAAGTGAAATAAATAAACTAATTGAAATCGCCATGAACAAAAGATTTCAGGAGCTCAAAAGCCGTCCCCATCGCGGTAAGTTTAGTTCAGGTGGGGCGACATTCATACCATGTCAAGTTTGCCTATTACTTTAAATGTCACTTTCGCCCCTATCAATACAATATAATAGATTAAAGATGGCTAAGAAGTTTACTTTTGAAATTCTTTTTATGCCTATGGTGGTCTGGTCTGTTTGGATTGATTTTAAACGGTATTTCATTGGAGTATGCTATGATCAAATAGGTGTATAGTACTATAATATGCATGGTACATGGGTGTATCATGTCTGAAAGTATTGGTTTGTGTGTGGCCCTTAAGTGTTGAAGTGTAAAGCTGTACTTATACCAGCATCCCCACCAGTCTTTTGTGTGTGAATTTGGGCTACTTGTGGAAAGCTACTTATCACTGTTTATGCCCCTTCTGTGTACATTATTCTATAAGCTTATCGCAAAATCTTCACACGGTTTAGCCGGGTGTGTTTAGACAGTCGCCTGCTTTGAGTGTTTTTGGATATCATGCCATAAATCGTTGCGACGTAAAACAGAGCATGCGGCCGGTGCGTGATTTACCGGTGTGTGGCGTTACTTTACGTGCGTGTTGCCACAGAACGTGACTTCAATTTTTTTTGTTCATCCATATCTGAGTGTGTGCGTGACTTTTTCATTGGTAGTGCTGTAACTGAATCTGAACTTTTATGTAAAAATATATGTTTGTATACTCCAACAATATTTGGGTAACTGTATTCATTCATAGAAAGTCTAATAAAATTTGAACCGAAATCTGACATGAAATTTCTTTTTTCAATAATCAATCAAATTCTTAAAAACCCATTTTAATGCAAAATTTTTAATTCTACTTTTTTCAGGATGAAAATTTGAAGTTGAGAGAACAACTTGACGCGATGATGCTTTCAATGAGACAAAAAACTGACACTGAAAAATCATTGATGCTTTTGCACAGACAGGCTGCTAAACATAACATGCATGGTAAGTTGTGTGCTATTTTTGCAGTACCCCGATGTTTTTGTCAAAATTTGCAATAATATATATCATACTGTTATTTACCTTTTATAAGCAAGCATAGAATACCCCTTTTTTATAGTGGATAATGAAATGCGATACAATTTGATAATCATATATGGTGGACCACCACGGTAATATTAACACTTTTGCTCACTGAATTCCTCTTTATTTTAGGTGCTGATACAGATGCTTCTTCTCATGATGGAGATGCTCTTGGTTCTTCCATGGAAGATCTTGCATCTGCTAGCGTATTTCCTGTATCAAGAGGGACTTCACAATTTGGATCTTCTGAAAATCTATTAGAAGTTGGAAGCAACTGCGACACTCACTCAAGGTCTGATACATTTTTCTATTATTCAATTTTTTCAGAAAAATGGCACATATTTTTGTATGAATTTGGCTAAAAAATGATTATTTATTCAGCAGGGCTGATGACAAGCTTCCACCTTCCTCTGATGGAAGTGAAAATTCATCTGCAGCTGCTGTAGTTTGCTTGACAGAGAAAATTCATAGAATGGAAGAAAGTCAAATTAGTACCAATGAGGAATTGGAAGCAACGGTTCAGGTAGAAAAATAATTTGTTTAATCAAATCAATAACAACATATATTGATTATTATTTGTCACAATGGCAATTCAAATCTATTTAAACTTGGATTTTTTCTAGCTTCACTTACCTTCAAATTCCATTAAATTTTAGGAATTGGCAGACTTGCAAAAATCGGTGCCAGAATTGACCACTGACAACACTCGTCTCAGACAAGAAAAGCAATATTTGATGCAGAAGTTATGTGAAACAGAAAAGAGACTAGACCAGAAGGAATCTGAAGTCCAGCATTTAAGGGTAAGTGCAGATACCCATTAAAATTCGTTAAGTCAAATTATGTTTGCCCAACGAATGACATTGACAACTACTATTGAAGCTAATTCTGAACTGGTGTTGTGCTATAAAATTGTGGGAGGGTTTTGTCTGACAATAGCTTATTAATTTTTAAATTAATAGGTATTTTTTTGTAAGATTCATTTATTAAGTCATTGATTTGGTTTTGGTAGCCAAACTTTTCATAAAAATTAGAAGTGAAGAAAAAGGAAAAAGTACTTCTATGAAACATGCACTGCAAAGTTTGGCCCAGATCCGCATCCTGAGTCACCTAAAAAAACAGAAGGCGTTTCCTGATGTAATTGGACTACTTGATGATGTGCATGCTATGTTGAAGTCACTAACGGATTGTTATGTGTGAAAGATGCAGTCTTCATATACCAGTATATCATAAAAAAGGCTCGATTTGTAGAAGATTTGTCTATTGGGAGTTTATATTCTTATTATACTATATAGTGATTGAGAACTTTGTGAGATATACAAACTTTTCAGAGTGAAATAAATTCCTTTTTGGAATTATAAGATTTTATCTGTCTGGGTTGTGTGCCAAATTTTACAGACATTGTAATAATTCTGAATTATCTGTGTTCTAAAAATATTACTATTTTGAATATTTTTGTCTATTCTCCATTTTTCAGACAAATTCAACTGTATTATAGAAAAACTAAATTCTGTTTTTAAATATTGCACACTGGTCTTGCGGGAATAAAATGTAGAAATTCACGAATTTTTTAGTTCCCACTTATCTGCTATCACATGGTTTGATGAATAAAAACTCTTATCTGAATTGCATTACTGCAATAAAAGCTGTACGGTTTACATAACAAAATGATTTTTATGCAATGCTGTCACTATTATATCTACAGCTCCCATGAGATTGCACGTTGATACCTATTATTTTTTATCTGAAATTAATAAATATGTTTTAAATATGTACTCCTTGAACGTATAGGCCAGCTCCTGCCATAAAAGGGCAAGTCGGTTTTGGTATATCACATTTTTGTGTTCATATTTGCATTTATGGTAATGTTTTCATTGCTCAAATGCCATTTGTAAGCTTGTAGACATGCAGCATTGCATTACAACATTTCTCTGTATCGTTTGCGTTCGCTGTATCAGATAACACTTATCTTGAAATTTGATATTCAATAATCACGTCATATCAATAATTGTAAAACCTAATTGCAAAAAATTGGTAATACGATAATATGCTGTGGCATCTAGAAATACGTGGCATTAGATGTCAGTCCATAGTTTACCTTGTTAAAAGCAATTTGCATTTTGCAAAATGATGTCTAATTTGCATATCGAGATTGTTACTGTGAATTTCGACATCATATCAGTTTTCGTTACTGTATTAAAAGGTCATCGGAGGTTGTATGCTTTCTTTGTGAGCCCTTTGCATTTTGCAATTCCGATGAAACATACATGATACATGCATGTATGACATGATTTCTACTATTTCTATCTATTCATTCATTACAGTGTTTTACTTATGCTTCCCCATGCAATATATGGAGCAGCACATGCGGAATATTTCGGTCATCATAACCAATTAACTGAATTATATTACATCATTAACTTTTACAATAAATTGGTTTGCCGTAATTCTGCCAGAGCTGTTTCTAATTAGTATGCTTTGTACAGGCTTACAAGTATCATTAGTATGGTATTACCCATAATTATAATGCAACATAGATCATATGGCCATAATTGATCAAGCACGGGTAGAGAAAAACAGTGCCTATATGGCACGGTTTAACTCCTCTCCATATATGATTAAATATATTTTCAAGGGTGATCTGATTTTGAATATCAATATGGATATTGAAAGTTCATGAAGGTTCTTTTTGTTTTGATTACTTACAGATTCTCAGTACAGTAGAGACCATATAGGTCTAGGAATTGTTTTTCTCTGTTTTGTAATTACATATATTACTTGGTATTCTCTGGGGATTGTGTTCAGATATATATTCCCATCATTATGAAGGTATAGAAGCTTACAAATATTGTTGGCATCCAGCTTATACGTTCAATATATTCGTGTTATAAGTTCAATATATTGCAGGGGTGTCTGGCAGTTTGTTTGCTATCAATGGTTGGATAGTATAAAACTGTGAAGATTACTTTAATAAGGGTTTTTGATAGTCAAAAAACATTTGTAAACAAATCATTTTTGATTGATAAAATCTTTCAAAATGAATGGTTAGATAAGTTTTTTGAATCTCAAATATGATAGATGATTACCCTACATCATGTATGAGCCTTTCAGGCAGGCATTATGGATATAGATCATTACCAGAAAGGGCTACAAAATTGAAGTTAAGTATGTCAGTTGTTTGTAATGGTATGAGTTGTTTTTTATATCCTCGGCTTTATATGTGAATTTTTTTTTTACATGGAAACACTTTCTTGAGCACCTTCTAAATGAATTGCATAGTTAGTGCCTGGTTTATTGTAATATCATTCAAATGAAATAATCTATAATGATTGACGAATTACAATGACGAATGAATTGGGCTTAAAACAATGGATTAAAAAGCTTACGATTACGAAACTTACTGCCTACGCAATCAATCAAAATCTTGAAACGATTAGTGATGCTAAAATTAGTTATTCGCATAGGAAGAAAGTCTTCGGAACATTTTTTCTCTATTTTGAGAAAGTAATGCTTTCCCTTATCATTTTTCTATTTATAGATTTTGTGTTGTGGAAAATTTAGAAAAAAGGGATGATTATGTTATTTCTAATATTGGATTATACTAGAAAATACTTTTTCTCCAGTAGCAGTTTTGATATACTGAATCTCTGTGTCTAATAATATAGCTCAGTGTTAAAATTTGTTTTTAGTTGAACACATCCAGAGAATGAAATGTATTGTGTTAAGACTTAAGCATAGTAAGTACTGCCATGTGAAATTATTTTAGTTTTAATTATATAGTTAACCATTTTATATGTTGCGAGTATTCATTATTAATCTTGTCATTTTAAATTTGGAACTTTACAACTTTACATATGTTGTAAACATCTATTCTATGTGTTGAATCAAATATTCTAGATTCCAGATTAGGTAAATCCGGATACTTTAGATTCAGGTATAAGTCTAGTAAGGTCCATAGGTAAATTTTATAAATTATGCTTTGAATATATTTAGATCATGTCTGTTTGCTCATGCCTGTTTAGTTGGTGTACATTCTTTAGAAGCATTTCATCAAACAGCCCAGCCTTTTATGAAGGTGGTTAATGACCTGGTTGGCAAACATGCCGCGCCCTGATCGACCTGGGTAATGTGTTCGGGGATCAGTGAAAGGCCTTGTCCTTAAAAGTTTTCAAATGGCTTGTGACAACATAGCGAAATCTTTTTATTTGAGCAATATAAGTAAACATAAAATTTTTGGTGTGTATCTGTGTTTGTTTGCTTGCTTACTGGACATTGCGGAATATTCAGAATTAATTATACAGAATTTTTATTTGTATGTGACTTATTATTCCTTTCTCAAGTATAGCCTATTAAAGAAACATGTGACGTAATTTAAATACTATTATTTTTCCATGCATAGCCCTTTGATGAAGTGTACATTGTTTGTATAATTTTTCAATGGCCCTCACTTGAAAGTATTACTATGCTAATTTGATGAAGATTTCCAAATCTGACGCAATCAATTAATCAATTTAATGTACAATTGCCAATTTTATACATGTATATCACATGCTTCATACTCGTACTAGTTTCTGTACAATTAGGAAGTGAACAAGTAACTGCAATTGGCCAGTCATTTCGTTTGGTTTCCAATGGAATGCTATTTTATTTGTAGCTAATTCATAACCTAAAGAGAATGGCTCTTTTGTTCGTGTGCAATTCGTGTGGGAATTGATTCAAATATAGTAAAGAATTTTGGATTGTCTTTGTAGTAACTGACGTCTATTAATAAATATGTGGATATCATGAATTTGATATATAAATTTAGTCATTAGCTTCACGTCTCAAGTAAAATGTTGACAGTTTGGATTATGTTTTGTTAAATTGATTCATTTCTTTTGTGTTGGCGTGAGAAATGGCAGGCTTCATCGAAAAATACTGCCTAACAAACATGTGAAGGGTTTTTCCATTCATATGATTTGATTATTTCTTGAAAGAATTTCAATATACTGTTTTGAATGTCTTCAATTTGACAGTATCTAATTAATTGGTATTTTATTGATCTATTTTTTTAAGGTTATTGATTGCACAGGTGATGGTTTTATAGGCCTTAAGTATTGATAAATGATCTTATGTTATGTCGACAAAAAGAAAAGACTGAATTTAGTTAGGTTTGAGTTAGGTTTGCTTCTTGCGATGTTCAGGCGTGAAGTTGCGTTGAGTCGAGCTCAACGCCGATATTCTCCTGTAGAACGTAGAAGTCAGTCCCCAATGAAGGTGATTTAATTGTACAGTAGTATTCTATAGTGTGTTGATATGGCTTTCTCATGTTGCAGATTCTTTTCTTTGTTTCTGGATAAGAAGGTATATATTATTGACTTGAAAAGGTTAATAGATGTGATTGGATTAGATTTTTCCACATATAAAATTCAGCGATTTTTGCAATGAAATTTGTAAATTTATTGTTGAAATTAAGTAAATATAGTTAATATTGAATTCATGGTATTCATTGGTATTGGAGCCAACCTTGGTTTATATTGTGGCTATACATTTTGATCATAGCATGATTTTTTACTTCTTTATTACCGGTAAGTCTATCAACATGCGTTTTTCGATGTGACTGGTGTAATTATGTGACAAGTCACACCAGGAAATTTTATCTAATTGGGGCATTAATGATGTAACGCTTTCATCAGTTTTATAAATTATCTCATTTTTTTATTTCAGGTTATTCTGAACGACAGATTGAGGGATGATCCTGACAAACCATCAGTCGAACAACAATACATGCAATTGTTGGATGAAAGAGAGCATTTGTTAGGTAAAAATAGGTATATTTCAGTGTTTTATTTTTCAGTTTGTCATTGTCGCACATTAAATTCTAATTTGATTGCACAATTGTGAAGTGCTATATAGATAAAATAGTATTATTGTTCATTGTCATTTTTGTGTCTGAATTCTTTAAACTTTAAAGTAAGGAGGTAAATATAAAAAATATTGACTTTTCATTGTAATTTCAAAGTTTTATTCTTCACCTCAGATGTTCAAGATGAAACAAATGCACGTTTACGAAGCACTGAACAAAAAGTAAAAGAGACTCATGTTCTTGCAACAGCACTTGAAGAACAGAACAGAAAATTAGAACGTGAAATGGCATCACTCACTGCAGAGAGAAACAGGCTTGAAAAAACTATTCAGGTTTGTAATTTTATTATAGTCATTGAAAATCTGTGTTATTTCTGAAGAAGGGAACTCACCTTTACTCTCCCAAACTGGACTCTTGTCGGGGGTACATAGCTCTTGCTAGAAAACTCAATAAAATAAAATAAAAAAAGCAAATTATTTTGAGTTTTCTTTCACAAAGCTTTTAGACATTAGTAGTTTGATAAATCTTTATCTCCGCTGGCTTTTTTTCAGAAGTGAACTGAAATCATTTGTAAAATCAGATAGCGAATTGACTTATTTTACATATTTCAGTCTATTGACTAGCTGCATTCCATTGCCATTGACAAGACTTGTAAATCCCTAGAGTCATATTTCCGGTGTTATATTACAAGCACTACTCAAGAGTCTATCATTGTGAATATGCCAGCATTGAAATTACATCATTTTATTAAATCATTCATGGATTTTGTAATTTCCGTTAACTGGTCATGGGAACAAGAATTTAACAATGAATTTGCCATGTAAAATTATGTCTGTGTATAGATATAGTAATCTTTGCAGCAAATGTGCAGAAGTTTCTAAATTTGTACCAAACGTGTCATGTTCTGTTGGAATTATATTTGCAGTGTGTTCTGTTTATTTATGGAAAAATTTAACAAAACATGCCGCCATCTTGAGAAATTCAGGATTCGAAATATTTTGCTGGGTTTTTGTGGCAATATCCCTGCTGTTTTTTTGAAGTTTATCATTATTTTCATCTGGAAATCTTTATTGAAGTTTTACATTTAGTTAATGACAAATCTTTTTTTGTTACAATACTAATAGGATTTCCGTGAGTCTGGTTCCGATAGAAAACACAGTGTAACCATTCAACACCTTGAAGATTGTTTGCATCAAGAGAGAGACAGAGTTTCTGAATTAATCAAGAAACAAGCTGTTATGGCTGCTGGGGATGCAGGCTCTAGTGAGGAATTGGTCACCTTGTTGGAACAACTAAGAAATGAAAAACACGTAAGTTATGTTTCATAGTCTTTAAAAAACTGAAATAAAAATGTATTCATTATTATTTATTCCTAATTACAGTTCCCAAGAAATTTGATTTGATTATTCTCATGAAGTAAATATCGTCTTTAAAGTATGTTCTATATGGGGCCTATTATACTTAACAATTCCATTTTTTTATGTTAGGATATTGAAGAGAAATACATTCTAGCAGAAGAAGAAGCCGGTCAATTGAAGGAAGAAAATGAGAAGTTAGATGATAAAGTTGCTGAATTAGAAGAGGAAATTGAAGCTGCTAGTGCTAAAGTAAGTAATAAGGCTGTTTATTTATGCTAAATGTGTTTAATGGCAGGATACATTGATTTCTCTTGCCAATATGTAGGTGCAAATAGGAGGAACGTTGGTGTATAAATTCATCTACATGTTGATAAAGTTTTAGTTTCAAAAATTAAAAATTCAACTTTTATGAAGGTAGTTTTAACACAATTATGAAATTGAATCAACCCATATATTACAAGTTGACATTATTCTGATTTTATTTTTAAGAAGACTCAAAATAGAAAGCGTTATCCGTGATTATCAATCCTATATATTTTATTAGCATTGCTTATTAGTCTAGTAATTCACAACAAACAATTTCTGTTACAGACAAAGAAAGATCTTTCAGAATTATCTGAAGTCATTGATCACCTTCAAGAAGAAATCAGGTTGCGCGTCGTTGATTTAGAAAACGCAAAAGAGACAATTTTTCTCATGGAAGACGCTGTAGAACAAAACATGGCTGTTAAAAAACATGACAATCATATGATCAGTAAACTTCAAGCTCAAATATCAACCCTAAAGGAAGAAAAATTCCGACTTGGTAAAGAAATTCATCAGCTTAAGAAAGAACAAAAAACGCAATCAGAAGAATGGAAACAATTTCAAGCTGATTTACAAATGGCTGTGATGATTGCTAATGACATGAAAGCAGGTAAGTTATTATAACATTCTAATTTTCAATTTATTTATCCAATTCCGAATAAGAATGATTTTGTTATTAATAAATAATAATTTATTAGGTTACTGTCAATGATAAAATATACAAAAAAAACTTTTGGAATCTATTCTGATAATAAATATAATATATGTAGCACAGTTCTAAAATATATCTTCTAACCATGAAAGTTTTTTTTATTAACTGCAATGGCTTAAGACCGACATGCTAGATGAACCATACCGAATGGCTAAATCTAAGTAATGCTGGAAAACACTGATTAACTATTGGATATTTATTGTTTAATTTTCAGCATTATTTCATCCAAATTCTGTTTCAGAAACCCAAGCTGAAGTTGCTCGTCTTCGTGAGGAAAATCAAATGTTAGATGAAAGGATAACTAAACTTCAAGTTGAAAATGAACAACTAAGAAGAAGAAGAAAAACAACATCATCAATCAATTTTCCGGATCCTGACCGTCGACAAAGATCAGTGGAAAAAGAGCTAGCTGCACTTAGAGAGGTAATTTCATTAAATACAATTTATTGTGAATTTTTCCTAAAGATCTATAATTGCTATTGGGATATGTCAAATTTTTACACAAAAATATATTTTTTATATCTGTTTTCAATAAATGTGCAAATTTACTTTTTAAGATATATCACAATAATAAACATTAATTTTTATTCTGACACATAATGGAAATGTAGCATCTAGCATGGTATGTTTATATCAGAATTATTGGAAACGGGTACTTTAAATAATCTGGAAAATAATTCCAAACATTCTAAGTGGATCTGTCCCACAGCAAAAATACGATTTTTGAAGACAAAACAGAAATTTTTCTTTTTTTGCTTAAAATATATTGTTTTTGACTATGTTAGATTTTAAAATGTAGGTAACATGTATCATTTGATTTAACATGCTTTCAATGGCAATGGCAATATGTATTAAAAGAGTCATTAAACTATTCATACTTTTTCCAGAGCTGGGGTGTTACACGCCGCTATGGTGAACAACATTCTCCTGGTGTTCAATCACTCATCAAATCCTTTGACAATCACATCATGCAAGTCTCTGAACAACAACAACAAAAAACATCTCCACCCGGAAGTCCAGGATCCCCAACCACACCAGAACCTAGGACCAAAAAAGCAGCCATGTCTTCAGCTGACCAACCCGGTCCTTTTCCAGCATCACAATCCAATTCGTTCCCTCCATCCCAAAAATTCAGTCCTTCAAAATCCCTGGTTAATCTTGGAAGTGCACAAAAAACGGCTCAATCGAATGGAGCTACGAATAGTCCAGTCATGGCTGAGGTTGCCCCGATGCAACGACATCATTCTATGTCATCAATACAACAAGATCCACAGACGGTGCTGTCGAAGATGGGAAATGTTCAACATTCAAGCAAGCCTGGGACTCCTGATGGCAAAAGAACAAGCAGCAGTGAGTATTTACTTGTTGGTATTCTTTTGTATTGCTTATAAAAGCATTGTTGATAGTTCATTACTCTTTCGATTATTGTGAATGTGAAGATTAAGGTTTTTTAATTTATTTCAGACGCTGATTTGTCCCAGCTTTCCTCTCTCTTACTCGCACGCGGAGAAAAAAGAACTTCTTCAAACCCTGATTCGAGGAAACAATCATTCGAGTCGAGAAAACCTCTCGCTGGCGGTTTAGGTAAGATATTAGGGGAAAGTTTTTATGGATCTCAATAGTATATGGGAAGTAATTTATTTTATTTTGGACTTAGTTATTTTTTTTCCGAAATACTTACATGAAACTCGTATGTAAAATTAGGAATGTTCATTTTATTTGAAGTAATCCAAATTAGTACAATCATTCAGTATTAGTAATACTTTTCAATCAATATATTTTGTGTAGATTTACGCCTCGATCGTCTTTCACCTTCAAATGCCCCTTCTTCACCCACTCCATCAGTTACTGGATCAGCTGCGACAGCCGAAGGTCGTGACAGTCCTATTCATCCTGCTGCATCAACACCACCAGTACAGATCAGACGTAGAGTGATGTCCACACCAGGAGGAGACTCACTTGCAACATTAGCTCGTCGATATGGTGGCTCAAAAAGAAATGCTCTTCTGAAATGGTGCCAGGAAAAAACAAAGGTATGTAAAATATATTTAACGCCCTTTCTGAATGATTTATGGTACTGTTATATGGATTGACATAAAGACTTATTTGTGAAATAGTGCAACATATCAGATTTAATTGCAGAATTCTGGCCTTGTTACTGATATGTGGCAGCTAATATGTTGAATGCTGAACATCCTGAAAGAACTTGAGGATTTATTGTTATTAATTGTAATTACAACCAAATGTTGCTCCACTTCATTCCTTCCATTATAGTTGATACTAATTTGCTCAATATGTGTTTTTTGAAACTTTGTTCATTTTCAGTATTTTCTGTGAATAATAACTAAATTACATGCGATTCTTTACAGGGATATGCTGGAATTGACATCACTAATTTCAGCAGCAGTTGGAATGACGGACTTGCTTTCTGTGCTCTCGTTCATTCTCATCTTCCTGCACACATACCATACGACACTCTTCATCAACAACTCGTCAATGCCACAGACATGAAAACAGTAAATATGCTACAAGCCAAAAATTTTAGACTTGCTTTTGCTGCAGCAGAAAGTGTTGGTATTGAGCCGTCCCTTACTGTTGAAGAAGTGACAAATACAGACAGGCCAGATTGGCAAAGGGTTATGCGCTATGTCACTGAAATTTATAAATACTTTGAAATGTGAGTAAAAAAGACTTCATCTTAAAAATAAGTGAAATAGTTGAAAGCACTTCGAAGAACAGGAATGCATGAATATGGCGTCAGATATTTGTTTCTTCTGTGCGAGAAGTTTAACATTGCCATTGTTATATGGTCGAATCGAATAGATTCCTCCAATTCTTTTGTGGCGACAGCTCTTATTATAATACTTGAAACTGGGATTTTTCCCTGCTTTCAATAGTTTAAAAACAGGGATGATCAGCTGCTTTTATATATTTGCCAAGCTCATAAATTTTTGTACCAGCAGCATATCTTTTTTAGTACATCTTACTTAACAACCGAGTGGAATACTTTTATACACAGCAGATTCACAAAACATTGTTCAAATCACTATTTAACTCGGGGGTTAATTGTTTAGTCCACATTTAGCATTTTTTCAGCATTATCCTAGTTTATCCTTTCGTGCTTTATGGTTGGATACAGTTTAGAAATACAACAGGGGCACTGCTTAGCGCCTTTACTCAGCATCCATGTTTCCAATCTAATGTTTAATAGCATCGCTGTAATTCATGTTTATATGTTGCTATTCAAAGGTTTGAAATCCATATTCTCTTCTTCTTTTTGCTCTAAAATTATTCTTGATATCTGCTTTTTCTCTTGAGTTATATTGAAATTTTTTTAAATCTCCATCATACTCGGTCCATTTCTGAACATCAAACTTGGTGGATGTGGCTGCACGTTTTAGGGAATCTTTACTAAAATTGAATCTATTATTACAATCACTGCAAAATCAACCTATTTGCACCAAACTAAGGCTGCTTAATCACTTTACCACTAACATACAAAAAAAAAATCAAACCCCGATTGGTTATTGCTGGATTAGGCTTGATTGACCTTGGGTGGTGTATAAATTATCTTTCTTCATTCTCGACTCGATCATAACATTACTGTAATCATTCAAGTTGTCCCAAAATGAATTTTGCACCGTTCATGCAACGGTTTATCTAAGCGTTTGATATGCGTTTTGCCACTGTTTCTGTTATACATGAAATAGGCGGGTGAATATCTTGTGATGGCGTTATAACGTGATCCTATGACGTCATCAAAATAATCCGAAATGTTTTTGATTGCTCTATATATTATCATTATTACTACTATTTTGTGTTCACACTGTGATAAATGTGTCTATGACGCTCAAATCGTACAATAAATATACTGATTCAAGAAAATATTTCCTGTTCTTGTATTCATGAAATAGGACAGATCGGGTTGGAAATAGTGTCTGGTAACTCTGGACTGAGCTAGACGTTCATTCCGGTATATTTATGCCAGGTTAGGCAGGAACTTAGATATTTCTATCTACTCTAGGTTGATGTGTCCCTATGTAGGTTTCCCCAAGGACGGGGAGGTGCGATTTTAAAACAATTGCAGACCTATGTAGTCGTTTGGTACGAGATTGCTTGTTATTCTCAACTCCAATGCGAACAACTCTTGATAGCTTTGCGTGAAATCCGAAAGCTTTGGGTTTCATGGACCTCTATAAATCAGTTGAATTTTCACTAAAAGAAGTTGTCACTATGTTATTCAGGGAATGGCAAAGTGGAGTATTTTATGAATATTGTTCCGTTACAGCTTACTGGCTGTTGAACCAGCCAAATAGCATCGTATAGCCCCATAAATCATAACGAACTATTTCGAACGCTACAAATAAAAATGTTTTACACTGATTAACAAATTTCCATCACTTTTATGATTATGAATGAAAAATATCAGTAGCTTTATAATATAATGTTATATTGCATTCACTTTCAAGTTTCAATGAACCAAGTTGTTCAGAAATAGTTTTCAGTGGTATATCTACTTATAGCTTGTGTCGCGGACTGAAGTGTCCGTGTTTATATCGTGTGTATATTAGTGTATATATATGTTTTTATGTTTATAAACAGTTATGTTGACCCTTGTTTAATGTTGTTTTGTCGGATTTGGACTCCGACCGCTTACTACACGTGAGAGAAAAACTGTCTTTCGATCTTCTTTCTCCGGCCGTCGGGCTGGAGGTCGGCCGTGTCTTTAGTTCTTCAGTGATGTAATCTGTTATGCTGTTTTAAGTTTGATATTGGAGTTGCCGTACAATAAACAACCAATCCGGAATCCTCGTCTTCTGATTCATCTACAACCACAGTAGCAACATCTTCAGACTGTGACACTTGCTACAACTAGGTATATACCAGAAAATTTTAATTTGTAAAATATAGAATAATAATTACAATATAACCAATTGTATAACAAGAGAGCAATGCTCAAATATATGAACACGAAAGCCAAAACGAAGTAGTACGGCTATGCTCTCTCTACCCTACCCTCTACCAGCCTTCACGAATCCGGAACCGCTACAAGATTTCAATTTTGATGATGTATGTTATCGCAGACAAAAAACGATTACCTTATAGCCTACAATTTTTTATAATTAAATAAGAAGAATGGCCTTCTATCGAAAAATACAAATTTTAACCACTGAACATTTCTAAGCAATTGGTCAATAATGAGAGAAGCTATTTTTCATGGTGACCGTACATTTGAACCCATGTACATTTGAACCCATGCGTATATCCACGGGTTCAATCTATATGCGGGTGCTAAAACCCATGGGAGGGTTAGTATGGGTTTAACTATCCGTGAAACAAAAAAAATTCCATAGGTGCAATAGCATACAGGTGCAATTGTCATGGGTTCAAATGTACGTGGGTTCAAATGTAATGGAACCATTTTTCATACGGGTAACAACAACAACAACAAGAGTTCAAGTATATATATGACATGAGGACCAAAACGAGATAAATAGTTTACCATTATGAAACGTTACCGTGCTAATTGTCCTACGACACAACACCTTAGCACATCAGGTAAGGGCTGTTTTAAAACAAGGGCTTGTTTTAGTCATTTTTTTTTTGTATTTTTTTCATTGAAATACCCCCTGCAACGCCGTGAACCTAGGCTTACCAGTAAAAAGTAAAAGACTTCCTCATATTATTTCTGTACTTTCATTTTTCACTCATGTACGTTTTCGCATAGGCTTCCCCATTCTGCCATTTATGCTTTTCTATTTCATGACTGCAACCTCTTTCATAAAAGTTATGCATTGCATACTTAGCATTCACTTGTTACATGCTTGGTAATGTCATATTCTGACTACTCATCCTGTGACATTAGCAAAATACATACCGGTTATTCATTGCGCCAGTAATTTTACTGTCTGTTGACTGCTTCCGAAACGACACTCGTTGCTGGGCAGCAGCGTTAATTTTCATATTCTGTCCTATCATATTAGCCACAAAATCTTGCTGTGTTTGCTCTCAGCGAGGCAATCACTAGATGTCGGTAATACGCCATCTATACGAAATGAATCAGAATGGTTCTCCTTATGTCTTTAGTTCCTATTACTAATTTGTTGTTCTCTTCATGATTGTGTTTTTTGATTAATTTTTTCTGAAAAAATTGTTTCCTCGCTATATTTTCTGCTTAATTAAGGTGTCGTTGACTAGATGACTCACCGAGTCTATCGCGACCCCTCATCAATTGCTATGAATCAATGTTTTCCGTTTTTGTTAGTTTTTTTTTATTTTTGTGTGCGTTTATTGCTTTACATTGATTCTTGCACGGTGAAAATAAATATCTGAATCTGATCGCGGGCAGCCTTCGGCAAAACGAGTGCGTTGCGATAATTGAGAATATATATACTTAGATCGGCGGCAACCTACGGATTTAGACGATGAGGCACCCTAGGATAGGATAGGATGGGATTTACATATTTATCCCCGGGGAGAGGGAAGCCGATAAGGCGGCTTATCCGTATGGCGAACCACGGCCTCTCGTCCGGTTACCATTCTAAGTCGGGTATGGGATTAGTTATATTGTTTGTTTTCGGAAGCATGGACTTGGACTAGTCTATGCTAATTGTTAGACCCCTCTGATACAATGACGCCACAACTAATCTGTTATGGCGTCATACTAGGGATTTCGAGTTTATGTATTGACGTTTTTTCCTGAAATAAAGGAATTATTACGGTTAATTTAAATTAGCATACTTTGTTTTCAAGGTGAAAGGGATAGAGTTTTTCAAAGTTATACAAACTCATTTGTTCGGCCGTATTTCAATTTTCGCAGGGTGGTTTCGTCGCAGGGTGGTTCACGTAAGGGCTTATCAGTTTTGTCTTTTGTCAGTTTTGGCATAGGGAAGGGTTTATTGCGAATAAGAAGCGCTTGGCAAGTTTTTACATCTATTTTTCTTGTTTTAGTTTTGACCTATTTAATACAAAAAATCAAACAATACAGCCATTTTAAACAAATCAGGCAAAAAAAAAACTTGATTCAAAACAATTGTTTTAAAACAATTATCTTTGAACAAATCCCTACGAGGTAAGCACACTTTTATTTCGCAACCTAATACCCCCAAAAACGTCAGACTGGCACTCCAGGGCTATATCAGATTTTTATCAATGGCTAACCTATACTTCGCAGATAATATCTAACGTGACAGTATTTACCAACGATTTAAGAATATATATATACTTTTATATTAATTCATGCAATCACGATCATTGAATCTTTGTCAAGACAGTTTGTTAAATGGCTAGGACCGTTAGATGGCAATAATGATCAGTAATAGCGCCGAGAGATACTTTTAAAACGAAGAGAGTTTAAAAATGAAGAATAACAAACCAGTTGTGTGAATGTATGTTTATTAATGATGAAGAGTGTATAATAGAGATGTTGAGATTGAGTCTGTAGCAAACAAACGCCGGATTTTCGTTTCTCATATATATATCTATATAGCCGTTACATGGTTTAGTGACACAAAAGATGAATACAATGGTCTACCGTCCGTGAATCCTTTTTCATTTGCACACGTTATTTATAAATGTCAAAAAACAGACGAAGCGAATATTTCTAATAGCTGCATGCATTCTATGATTGTTTCTCCTGAGGTCGATTTTCTTGTTAAATGTTTACTTTTAATATGTAAACGGTGACGTAACAATTGATATTTTAGGTCCGCTTATACACTATTTACACTTTAGATAGATTCCCAGACACGGCTTTAATCCAAAGGGATGCAACATACGACCTGTGGGCTACTTCACGGTCCGCGGAATTTTTCTTGCTTTTTCTTATTCGCAACGGCACGATCGGCATTTTTGACGTTGAGTTACGGCAGGCCTGCACAACATACGGCCCGCTAGATACTTCTGTGCGCCCGCGGGTGATTTGGAAACACGCCACTTCTCGGGTCTAACAATCAAAGCCGGCATTGTTATGCAAGCGCGCCGCTACTCCGATCATATCTGAATTCGTGATATTTATGTTTTGCACTAGTTTCAATAAATATCGAACTTTGTGTGAAATTGGTGTGCCCTTCGCGACCCCTAAAATCCGTCGCTCGACCCCTGTTTGGGAAACCCTGATTTAAATATCTCAGTATTCAGACTGAATCACGCTTAAAACAATATCGGTATACAATCTCACACCCATTAGTGCATACTAGCAACCTATTAATAACTCCATTATTTTTTACTAACAGTTTATGAAACTGCAGTTTCTTTTTGTTGCAAAGTTTGCGGCCCGCCGGGCCTTCAGATTTATGCTGCGGCCCTCGTGGTAATTTGAGTTGTGCAGGCCTGAGTTACGGGCTACGTCAAACTTGGGAGAAATTTCCTATGGCAAGAATTTAATAACGTGATATTTCCTCATTGGTACCGTTTTATGATTGAAAAGGTTAATCTGTCTACCAGTGATAAAGAGAGGTTGAGTATAAATACGGATATTCAGCGCTCGTTAGTCAACATACAATATCACCCGACCATAAATTAAAAAAAAAAACTATGCTACTCAAGTTAATATTTAGATCAACTACGGCTTGAACACATTCTTCGAAATGTGTTTGGAAAAGAATACTTATGAGGCAGGCTTGACTATTCGTTTGAGTTATCGGTGCCTATAGTCAGTGGCGTAGCAAGACTCTCGTGATCCCCCCCCCCCCCCCCCCCCCGCAAAAATATTTCGTGGAAATGACCCTAACAACTCTCGGACATAAGCTAAAACAACGCTTTTTTTATTCCGTCAAAAAGCACAACATGTCGCTATTAAAAGGCAATGGTAACCTGAAATTTGCCGTTTATCCTGGTTACTTTAATTTTTTTCATACGTGCTACCTCTTGTGCCTTCTCTTGTGCTTTTTCTGCGTTTCTGTGCGCAACTGAGAGGTTTTGTTTTACATCATTCTGACAGCCTTCGCAATTTTGCCGGTACGATCAAACCACAAGACACCGAAAATCGACGACTCCCTGGCATTGTTACGTAACAAAACGATTTGAGCAGAACTAACATCAACATTATAAGATGTGCATTACTGGTTTTGCAATGCAGCTTTTGGTTTTGCGGCTTAAATTTCTAAATTATAACCGCTTGGGCCCCTTAGCGGGGTTGCGGGGGGTGGATGCTACGCCACTGCCCATAGTACCCTGCATGCGACATTGTTTCGAATATAACACAACTCCTATGTTGGATCAACTCTTTATTCTTGAGGACTTTGTACACATTTGACAGTGAATGAAGATGACAGTAATTGTGGAACAACGCGGACCAATCAAGCAGTTAATTTTGAAATCTTTCATGTAATTGTTGTACGCCACAAGGTGGCTTCTTCGATCACCTCTGCGTGGCTGTCACGGGAAGCCAAGTTCAAATACTGCGCGAACTATTTTTTATTCATCACGTCTTTCACAGACGGATGTAAAGTATCTTGAAAGTTTTCGAATGTCGTTGATGCTGGAATAAACATGTGGATTTTTAAATTGAGTATTTTATTTCGTAGACTATCGGTGCTGAATTAGATACAGACGATGTTCGACTTAAAACGGCAAATGTGAAAACGCAAGATCATCTTTACATACCCGCCTCCAATGTGACAATTTAACAATATGATCCATGTTAGTCTACTCTAGAGGCTTGGACAACTCAATTCTAAACTGATCGATTTAAATAGGTAGAAGGATTAGTGTTATACTGGACTTGGAGGAAAAGCTTATTATACTCTTACAGACAATGTTAACACAGTTTTGCTGACTGGTGCGAATAAATATCATCATGGAGATACATGGGCTAAAACGTCATACAACCATACAATAATTCTTTTCCTTTATAATATAACTGATAGGCCTAATTCCTAGGTGTAATATATATGGAAAGCATCCATTTGGTAGTTTATTCACCTGATTGTTTATTTAAAAGCATTTGTTGTGAGAGTGCCAAAATCTGCGCTGAAATATGCGCATATTGCGGATTCCATGACAAAGGCATGATTGGAGATGGAAAATATTCTTGAGTATGATTCTCAACACAAACAGGGATATGCCTGAAAAAGAACGTTACGAATTCAAAACAAGATTTATCAATTGACATACTGAGTGATCATTTGGTCAGTATAAAACCCATTATAACATTTTTACAGCACATACCTCGAGTTACTGGATCTTGAATGTGCAGTTGTACTGTTGCGCATATTTTTCATGGAGTAGTCCTCAATCTTTTCTGAATAAACAATAAAAGAGGATTTTATTACTCTTTATTGAAATGACCAACATTGGTATCACACCGATTTATATCCGGTCTCATGTTTGTCACAAATACAGAAAATATATTCAGCTTAACTAACTTGCATTACTGTAAAAATGTTATATTTCAGGCCAATCATTTCAGTTGCATACCTTGAAGTCTTATGCTGTTTGAATCGTGCTCACATTTTTGGGGTTGAATTTTTGAATTAGAATCAGGCGTCTCAACTGATTTATCATCGGTTGAATGTGTTGAAGACTCGTGCTCCGATGCAATATCATCAAGTTGTTGTTCTTCTTGTATATCATTCAAACGTTGTTGCTTGCGAAATTTTGCTCTTCTATTCTTGAACCAAACCTACAAAGGTTTAACATTGAGTTTTTATAAAATCGCTGTAGAATATTTACTTCTAAACTCAAGCAGAAAGAGATAAAAGTTCCTTGAATTCTATTCATCAGGGTCAATAAAATGCCCAGGCCCGGTACGAAGCGTCGCGCTTCACATAGGGTGAAGCCATATTATCGACTTCCCTTTATGATATATATACATCCTGTTCATTTTGATTTTAAAAGCAACGTCAATGAACTTTCAGACAATGCTATTCTTGTTGTTAAATTTTGTTAGAATAAGCGGTTTGAATGACTACAATACTTCTGTACTTCAGTTATGCATACTCTAGTCCTGTGTTTCCCAACCCGAGTCCGCGGTCTCAAATGAGTCCGCGGAGCGTTTGAATGAGTCCGCAACGAGCCAGAAATTCACTGCGAGCGGCAAACGTTTTTGTGGAACAAATCAGCCAAGTTACGATTTACGTTAGAATTTACATAAAACAAAAAATGCAAGTTTATTCACATAAAATTAATCGGGTAAATAATTACTGGTTACTGAGTAGGGCTGTACATATATTCGAATATTCAACTATTAGAATAGCAATTTACTATTCGAAAATTTGGTAACATGTGACGCTACAGGTCACTTACGAATTTCCGACGAAAACACACGAGTCGGCACAAGCATCGATAGATACCTAAGTGGTTGTTTTTCTCGCGAGTTCGAACAACGAGGACGTAGGTATTGCTCTTCATTCGTCAACACAACCGCAGATTAAAATGATCACATTTAAATTAATATTAAAGCAAGGGGATGAATATGTAATTTTGATTTACTAATATACTTTAAATATATTTTTATTAAGTACTAAATCAAGTTCTACTTTCTGGAAATTTATATCAGATAGTAGGATTTTTCTGAAGGCGATAACAAATTCGCAAGATCGCAAAAATATGTATCAATAATAAATTTAATCGGGCAATATATTCTCGCATTAATATGTTCGCAGATTGCCGTGGTATTTTAAAGAAAGAATGCTTTCATCTTGTTGTAAGTCGACGCAACCGCGAGTTACCAAGAACACAATTAAATTAATACAGAAAGCCATTTTATATTCTCGTCGTTGTCATGGATTTAATATTATGCGACGGAAAAGTCGGCTTTTTTAACCAACACGCAATTGCGACGAATTTCGGCATTTGAAATGCGTTAAAATTCTGTTGTGTTTGGTTTTATTGCTTCTTCACACAGAGTACGGTTGCAATAAACGCACCCTGAGTCCGCAAAGGTTTTCGTCGGCGAGAAAATAGTCCGCGACCAAAAAAGGTTAGTCTTGTGACTCTAGTCTATAGCGCATGCGACGCCAAGTAAATTTCAAAAACATATTAGCTGATATTGCAAACTAACGATAGGCCACCTTTGTATGTAGATTTCGTGCTTTCAATATCACGAATCTCAGAAAACTTTTCGATGCAATGTCGATGAGATGCATTTTCAATATGTACCTGTACTCGTGCTTCGGGAAGGTTTGTGAACATTGCCAATCTTTCCCGAGTCATGACATCAGGATATTGTGTTTCGTTGAAGGTTGCTTCTAAAGCTTTCAGTTGATCGGTTGTGAAGGCAGTTCTACTTCTTCGTTGTTTATGTGATCGAAATCCGAATCTTGACTCGAAAACCGCTCCTGTTCATTAGCAACATTTTTGTATTAAACGTTCAACATATATATACATACATATCTATAGCATTAGGCAGAGAATTAAAATTCAGGCAAATCATGTCGTTGCTCGTTTATTTCTTCGGGAATACTTTTAAAACTCTATAAATTTAGGCTGAACAAATGCTTTTACCTCGTGTTGTTCGTTCAACTCGAATATATTCTATCAAGTTAACACGCCCCCAGCACAAATTCTCAAGTGCTGTTATAACTTATGACGCCTACATGATGCAAACAGATATTTTTAGAATTGTTTTTTGTATTCGCGCTTCATTTACGTGACAATGATCTGGAAGCTTGTCTGGGCAATCAAAAGACAAACAATGATCAGTAAACATACCTGCAAATTTTTCAAATGAAAGCGCCTGAGATAGTTCCCCATAAGATGCCTGAAAGAAGGGGTGTTGACACGCGAGTTGAGCATAAATTGATTCGGGAGTAGGATGAGCATTAGGAAAACTTGTACGATCCATTTTTATGATAATATTTAGATGATAAATATAAATCTGTATAATGTATAAATTTGTGATAAACAATTTCGAGCAAGTGGCGAAATGATAATTGGACACTTTTGTCCAAGGGGTGTTGACACGCGAGTTGAGCATAAATTGATTCGGGAGTAGGATGAGCATTAGGAAAACTTGTACGATCCATTTTTATGATAATATTTAGATGATAAATATAAATCTGTATAATGTATAAATTTGTGATAAACAATTTCGAGCAAGTGGCGAAATGATAATTGGACACTTTTGTTCCTATAATCAAATATATTTTAATCATTTATGTAACAAACTATAAAAGCAAGCGAATCCGTAAATGAATAATTCAGAAACTAGTATCAGCCTGCATACCATAACGCACAGATAATGCTCGAATTTAAAGTCATTTCATACTTTTTCACGACATTATTCTGAAAAGAAGTAATATATTCATGACCAACCACTTGGCTTCAATTTCTTTTTATAGCTACATAAAGCTACTTCTGTAGGAAATATAGAGGGAATAAAATAATAATTCAAATAAGCTCCTGACCGACTCCTTGACATAGCTCCCTTCTTGTGCTTCAGACTGACCCACAACATAAACCAATGCTAATGAAAACAATTCATACTTCTAAAGTTCTATGTTTATATCCGAAATTGGCAATGGTTTACAAAACTATCCCATACTTATCTTCTTTCGCATTTGCATATAGTAGTAAATCCATACCTGTATTATCTTTTATAGTAAAACTTGATTCAAATGATATGTAGTGGGGTTCATACACCACCAGCAAGATATAAAGCTCGGCGAAACTGACGAGCGTTCTGATGCCAGTCTTAAAAGACTAATCCGTATTTGCAGAGGTCTGTAATGCGATTATCCGATGAAAATTATTTTTGTAAGAATTAAGAGAGACAGATGCTGATTAGAAATCGTATTTTCTTTTTTTATCTCTCTCGGTTTCGAAGCGTTATGCTATATTTGTAGTAGATATACTGAAGGAAATATGTGTATAAAGTATAAACGATCATCCGTCTGTCCATTGATTTATTCTTTACCTAACGACTGACTTCATTTCTGTAAACATCAGTAAACAAGGAGATATTACCCTAATGAAAATGTAGTGCATATATTTCAAATATATCAAATATTATGGGTCCGATAGTTACAATAAACGCCCATTTTAACAACGTTAACACGATTTTCCAGTTTTTAAATAGCATGGACTGTTATCGTAGGATCTGGTGGTCACACAAAATAAAATTTAAACCTTTTCCGAATATGCGTTCTAGCCTTGTGTTAATGGCTGTGAAAGATAGATCTCACTTATAAGGTTTCGTTAGGTTCGCCTCATCTTACTATGCCGACTGGCATATCCTGCTGCGTTCTCAAATAAATTCCCACATGGGCTTGCTTGGGTGCTTGTTAGTAAACATTTTCTCAGATTAAGCAACTGAAGTTGTACCGAAAAGAAATTCTTATGGTCATGATTATCTTACTTTGCTATGTCAATATCTCTACACAAAGCAAAAACAATTTACAAACAGTCTTTTAGTCGAAAAATCTATCATTGGAACGACCGTCATTTTTCCGCTACTGTAATACATTAAATCAATTTAGTATACTCATAACTTAGATTAGACCCCCGATCTCAAATCTGTGAACAACATAGCCGCCGGCTTAATGCACGGTAGTGCCGACGAAAAAACTTCTGCATTTCTGGTAGTTTTTAAAAGTTAGCGCACACCTTTCAGATACTTTTAGTAATAATAAACGATGTACCTAAGACAATTAATGTGCTTGAAGTCTATATACCTTACATTGTCTTCATCTAGACCAGCCATTTTTTATAATTTATATCGATATGATGGACGGACGTATTATAGAGAAGAAGCATTATAATAATCCCGTACCCCGGGAAATGTACAAATTCTATATTTAAGCGCTTTCATCCATTTAATACGGCCTAGGAGAGAAAGCAGCAACGGATCATAAAATACTAATCGGATCTATGTATCTAAGATGCGCTAAGGAGAAATCTCATAGACGCTTCCAAAATAACTGGTTATACAAACCTAAACATGCATGTAAATCATATTGTACATTTGTGGACTGCTGGCTGAATAAAGAAATGGTTCTCTGAATTCAATTTATCTTCATAAGACAATAGGGTCTATTTATACTAAAAATGTGCCATATAAAATGTACCATGGGGATGCTTTTAGTGAGAAATTTTAAACAATACAGCAAAATTATAGTTCAATTTGATTCCGTTTTGTTGCCCAAGTCAGTTGAATGTCGAATTGAGGTGTGACGGCCGTTATCTTCCTCGGCTTCCATTTTAGCTAATCCGGCTAAGCGAACATAATACTATAATATGAATCCTGTTAAGTTAATCCTATTAAATAGAAATCGCTTTCTCTCCAACGAAACTATACTCGTTTCGTAATGATAACAAGAAGGAACCCTAACAAAAAAAAAATAGATGATCAAATTTATGTCAGTCGCGTCAAGCATAATTGGATAAAACAAATTTTGTATAAAAAGCTAGCATCTCATTTGAATACAACGGAACGGATAATTTTTCTGATAATTTCACTTTATACGATGAATTTCACACATTGTTCAGCAATGTCATATATGGTCTCCTGTCATATAGATGGGTTTACAGTTTAGACACACACATAGAATTCGCCTCTAAGTTGGAAGATTATTCATCTAATTGAAATACCTTTATCAAATACAAAAATAAATGCTTAGAATGTTTCAAACATATTATTTTTTACTGATTTCAAACCCCGAACTCGGTATGTATTTACCACAAGCCCGGCCCTACTTCACAAATTCTAAATGACCTATGATTTAATAACGGTAATTACCAGGATCTCGGACAATTTCGGCAAATTTATCGCTAGTTGTAAAACGAAATCCACAATCAACACCTACACCCACCATGCATTTTTAAAAAGATACAACTGAGGTAAAATTACTTTTTACAACGACAGATTTTAAGTTACACATTTTTGTCGAAAAATTACATTTTTCGTAGTTAAATATATATATATATATATAATTCTTTCCTACTCTTTTTAATCACAAGTCAGAGTTCTCCAGAGGCTGAAAGTTGGGTTTAAATGAAGTATAAAAGTAGTCCAAAATATTTAACAATGGCACATAAAAAAAACACTGAAAAGTTAAAATAAATCGACTACAAACAGTGACTTTTATGGTTGTAAAATTCGTTACAACTGATTTGAAAAAAAATAAAAAAATAGCAATGTCTTGTACTCATTTTCGTCGCGAAAGTATTCTGTACATACGTTTATCTTTGATTCCTTTCGACTTTCTAGACTAAATGCATCTTGTCAAATATAAACAACAGCTCAGCTCAAAATGTAAAAATGTCTATCTGTTCTAATCATGTTTAATTAATTAATTATGTTGAATTAGATAGCAGCAAAAAGTTTTGATCTTATATCATCATTCAGCGATTACTTTAATATTTCACCAAATGCTATTATTAACCTTGTAAAACATCACGACTGTCGACTACTGCGTCAGATAAAACATTCCCAACTCAACAATTTATTTGTCAATTTAAAATTCGAAATAGACTTAACTGAGCGCGGAAACTGCTTACAACATTGTCATCTACTTATTATTTTAGTAGCGGGATTGAAGTGGATTTCCACATTGAATTCTCACACATATTAAGTCTTTGATGAGTATTGCGACGCGATTCTTCGGTACAAATCCCCCTTGAAAGAGAGGGCTTCACGCAGGTGCTCAAACAACCCCTTTAATCCGATTAACGCGATCTCCACTCTAACAAACATTTAACGTTTAACTAAACAATAGGAAAAATAAGAAAATTAACAAGAAAATTCTAACTTTTGAAATTGTTTGTTGATTCGAAGATCAATTGATAATGATGCTAACCACATAGAAATGGGGTTACAAATCGAACCGTTTCTATGGCCCGTGTTTAGTATTTGTATGTGTTAAAAAAGGATTATTTTGTGCCATACAAGTTTGCTTTGAGAGCTCGAACTAACAGTGTACGCTTTTAGACAATAATCTTCGTGAATTTGCGATCGAAAACCGAAAAACGTGGTACGATGAAGTTTTAATCCTTGGATCAAATAGAAACTCAAACCTCCTCGGGTGTATAGAAAATTATTTAAATAAAATAAAATGCAAATTCATTTATTAGAGAGAGAAAGAGAGAGATGACGGGAATATTATCCGTAATCCAGATTAAGAGTTGATAGGACAAGGATTACAAACTTTGTTTTCAATGACGAATATAAATCCACTTGTGAATCGTTTCTATTATATATCTTTGCGTTTATTTAAACGTGAAAACCAACTCAAAGCCAATTCTAACAAATCTTTGTTTGTTTTGATTGTGAAACTTACCGATTCCGGTGTCACAAAGTGGCGCCGCACAGCTAACAATTCATGTTGATCAAGCAAAAGCATTCAATTTGACAATTACAAATGAGTATTTATTTCTATATTGGATGAAATATTCTGTGTTTAAATTCACAATATGAACATAATGCATATGAATCGTTTTGCTAAAATATTATTGTTGTTTTGGGTTCAAAGAAAATCTCTTCTCTCTGCAAACAAGTGATTTCAAATTTTCAGTATTTAGAGAAAAAAATCGCCACTTTTGGTTAAACTCCAGATTCTGGCTGAGTTTTATAATTCACTGACATCTACTTATGACATCTGGTAAAATTCTTTTCGTATTTAGCTGAGACTATGCGGTTAAATATGCGGTTGAATGGCCATATGTCATTTTATCTTCGTGCCATATATCAGAGCACTGTTCTCTCGTTTGCTCCACCCTTACTTCAAAGTTACCGCTGCTTTAAAATTAGAAAGTATGAATAAGTTTTTAAGATATCTATTCATGAAAGAGTTATATACTGCATGTGAGGGTTTTTCCACCAAGCTTCCACTGCTTAATATTTTTTCATATCCATACTTTCCTGGAATACGT